TTTTTTCCTGCTCCTCCTCTGTATGACAGCTTTTCAAGTATTCTGCTACCATATCTCCCCTCAATCATCTTTAGATGTTTTGGGGGGCACCCAATGAACCACATAGCTAATAAATATATTTGTTGTCTCTTTCTTCTACAGAGTTTATAGTAGGGAATTTATCGGTTACCCAAATAGAGAACAGCAGTATGCCGGAGAAATTCGGTTCTCATCCTGCAACAGCAACGCTAATCCTCGTCTCCTTCCTCCTTCACGATCCGAGCCATTATTTTCAGACGGCGTCCTTTGTTTATAATTGGGATTTTGGAGATGGGTATGTCCCTATGCCTTTCTCTGCTCCCACCCTGCCATACATTTGGGCCAAAATCCTATCCATTGTACCCATTGGCCTAACACTGTTGGCGTAAACATGATTGATGAATGACCAGAAATTCAGAAGTTAGCGTGATACGTGCTGAACAAACAGCACATACCTAGGCTAACTTTTTGCACTTGAAGCAATTACAGTGGTGTCCCGCATGACGATGAAACCACTAAACGACAAAACCACAGGACGATGACTTTTTGCGATCGCTATAGTGATTCGCAAAACAGGCATATCAATGGGGGAATTCCACTTCATGACGATTTGGTCTGTGCTTCGCAGACCGTTTATTCGCAAGATGACGATCTTTACAGCTGATTGTCGGCTTCGCAAAATGGCTTCCCGCTCTTTGCCAGACCCGTGCTTCGGAAGACAGCGATCAAAAACAGCTGATCGGCACTCACAAAATGGCTGCCCTATGGAGGATCTTCACTGGACGATGAGGTATTTTCCCCATTGGGAACGCATTAACCGGTTTTCAATGCATTCCAATGGGGAAACTGTTTTCGCATGACGACGATTTCACTGTACAGCGATTTCAGGGGCACAAATTATCGTCATCATGCGGGGCACCACTGTATCTGCTGAGATTTGCACCAACTGTGTGACGTGGATGTAAAAACACAACTCATTTTAGCCATTATACATTACAGCTTTATCATGCACACACGGACAAGCATAGTTTGACAGCCATGGCTTCCCCACAGGGCCGACCAGAGATTTTGCTTTCCTTGAGGTCGAAAGAACACGACCCCAGGCTTCACAGATGCAGCCCTACTCCCACATCCTTTCTATATCTACATGTACATCCAGCTGCGTCCTTCCATGCTGTGCGAGAGGAGGAGCCAGAGGCGGTGATCCCCATCTTTAGTCCTTTTCCTCAAAGCTTTGTCTGGAGCAGTGGCTCCCCAATCTTGGGTTGCCCAGGTGTCCTTGGACTGCAACTCCCAGAAGCCTTCATCATTAGCTGAGCTGGCCTAGTTTTCTGGGAGATGTAGTCCAAGAACATCTGGGAACCCCAGGGTGGGAACACCGGTTGAGAGGGGAGGAAGAGAAAGACTCAGTGGGATGTGCCATCTAGCAGGAGGAAAGGATACGGCAGTTGGACATCATCTTCATGCCCTCCATCCGTGGAACGGCTTTGCTCCAGGAGGCCCTAAGGGCAGCAGATGTATAGACTATCCCATTATGTATTCCCTCTAAGACCCCTTGAGGTGAGTGTTCCCTCAGAGAGACAGCTGCTCACAATAGCAACTCTGAAGTGACCTCCAACACTGAGGGAGCTTTGCATTTGTCCCCTGAGGCAACCCCATCACCACCACAGAGGGTAGGGCTGGCTTGGTCTCCTCAGCCATTCGGCGGAGGGTTCCTGTCCCTATGGGCCTCGCCAGCAGAGCCATCATAAACAAAGCCGTGAGGTATAATAAAGGAGGAAGCTCTCCAGTCCACAGAACATGCGGTTTGCATAAGGTTGAGACATGAACCGCAGCCACCTACCAAGAGGAAGGACAGAAAGCCTGCTTGTCTCCATCTAGAACGGTCCTACCATATCTGTAATTCCATCACCATCGGAGAGAAAAGCTGGATTGGTTTGTTGAACGAAAAATCCTCACATCCTATAAACAACTAGGCCTGTTCAGAGCAGGAGAAGCTGTGTCAGCCATAATTCCTGCAGAGACATGGTGGTGTGTTAGGGTATCTCGCAGTGGAGCCAGAGGTTGGGGGTTCGATTCCGCACTGCCTCTCCTGGGAGTAGAGCCAGTCTATGTAACCTTGGGCACCCTGCAGAGTCCCAGAAGAAAAGAGCGGGAAACCAATTCTGAGTACGGTCTACCTGGAAAACCCTGGGAAGGGTAACCACACATCAGGATGGATTTGACTGCACACAATTATAAATATGAATAAAGTCTCCCCATTTCTCCTTCCCATGCAGAACAAAACTGACAACAGATGAGCCCTCTGTCTATCACAATTATTCCACTCCCGGGACTTGCGTGGTGCGCCTTGAGGTGACGGCAGAATGGAGACAACAACACAGGATGAAGACAGAGCATTCAAGAAAGCTTGTCCAGAGAACAGGGCATTTTGCTGCTGCGTTGGAGCTGTTAGGTAAGGTCAAGTGACCTGGCCAGACCCAGGCAAGATCACAGGGTGTAGTCAAGTCCCATTAGAAACACATTGGGCTGTGGGGAAGTCATGGGACAGCTTGTCCCATCTCGGGCTGTGGTGCTGGTTTGTTGTAAGGCAAGAAGCCTTCGCCACTAGCTGTGCTGGCCAGGATCCCTGGGAGTTGTAGTTCGTGGACACAAGGAGACCCACAGTTGGGCACCACAGCCCTAGTGCAAGGTGGGATCCTCACTCATCCATGGACAAACACCCAATGGCCTGGAAATTGAATTATTGTTCAACACCTGGGATGGGAAAGTGTCCTCTAACACAGTGGTCCCCAACCTTGGGCCTCCAGATGTTCTTGGACT